GTTTGTTCGGTTTCGTTTTTTTTTTCCCCCCCCCCTTTCTTCTTAAGTTTGTGGTTCCGGAGTGATTCAGTTTATGTGCTAATGAATGTCGAGAAAAGAAAACGTCTTGCTTGTTGTGCAAAGATTCAGCTTCGTCACCCCTCTTCAGGTGTCTTTAACCCTTTCTGATACGAGATCGCCTTTTTTCTCCTTCTTTAATTTTCATATTTATGGTTTATTATTGCCTCCCTTTGCGCGTGCGCTTCCTCATAGCAAAGAGTGGGTCGTCCTGGAATTCCCGGTCGGGATGATACAAGGGCAAAGCAAAACGAAGAGAAACAGTGCAATGGAGAAAAAAAAAGAATAACAATAATACACAAAAAAAACGGGAAAGTAAGAGCTGTTGCGTTCAGTGAGCGTGAAGAGGAGGAGGGGAAGGAAGTTTGAGGGAAACAAAGAAATTTCCTCTCTTTTGTGCGTGTCGGATGACCATGTTTCGAAGAGTCTGGTTTTTTTTTTATATTCCCTTGTCGTGTAGTCTTTTCTGCGTGCTTTGCAGCACTGGTTCACGTTTTATTTGCATTTTCTCTTTTCTGTCTAGGGTGTGCTGTGGTGTGGGGAGGCAGCCGCGGCCCACAGCGGCAGTGCCAAAGGGGCGGACGTAGGGTGCGCAACCGCCTCTTGCCCACATGCTCGCCGGATTGGAGTCGAAGCAGCAGCCGGAGTGAAATTGGCATTGCGTGTGGAGGTGTGTGCTTGTGTGCCCTCTGGCACGGTGTGCACTTGCCGTGTCCTGCAGTGGCCGTTGGGGGTTGTTTGGTGAATAGCCACATACACCTACAAAAACGCAACCACTTTCGTTTTGGATGAGTTTTACAGATTTTCGACTGGCGCTCGCCCACAATAGGGAGCCATTGGTGAGTGGCTGCAAAAGAAATTGACCAACTCGGGAAGGAAGGATGCCACTGCTTCCGCCTGTCTTTTGCGGCTTAAACGTGGGGTGTCGAGTGTAGTCGACTCCTCCTTATTTATGCCTTTTTTTTTTCGCATTTTTCTGCGAATATGCTCCGTGCGCCTTTGCGACGATGGTGCGGATGCACAACTTACTTCTAAAGCCTTTTTCGACGTCATTACAGGAAAACTGTGTGCAGGTTGCTGTTTTTTTTTCTTCTCTGCCTTTTAAACTACTAACTTGTGTCTCTCAAGTCATGTCGTTGCTGTTGCGGTTTCCCTTTTCTGACGCCCTTCTTTAAAGGCCAGCGGAAATGAGCACAAGGAAGTTGGTGGCCCCGCTGGATGTGCTTCGTAACTGTAGGGGGAAGGTGGTGTCGGTGGAGCTGGCGAACGGAGAAACGATCAATGGAACCGTGATGAAAGTTGACAGGTCAATGAACCTGGTGCTGAAGCAGTGCATTCGAACAGGCGCTGCGGGAGACGTTTTTTGGAGGTCGCGCGAAGCGCTTATTCGGGGTGCAAGTGTACGGAACTTGCGGATGGACGAGCGGGCATTGGTGATGCCCGAGTCCCGCACGGCAGAGGGCAAGAAGGCACGTCCAAGCAGTAAAAAACAGGCCACGGCTGGAGTGAAGCAAAAATCGAGGTGACTTAGCCTTTTTTTCTTGTTTTCTTTTGCTTCTCATGGGAGTCTCACCGTAGGTGTTTAAGAGAAAAAAAGAAGAAGCAACAACATATTTTTTTCGTTTGCGTGTCTTTTCCCTCCCTGCGTGTAGTATTGCGTTTTTGCGTCTCTCCTGTGTGCAACGTGTCACTGTTGTTGTTTTTTATTTTTTATTTATTTTTTTTTTTGCCGCAGCGAAGGCTTCAAGCAGCCGATATTAAGGCATGGACTCCAAGGGGCGGGGTGGGAAAGGCAATTTTATCGGGCGGGGAAACGTTGTGCTCGGCGGGGCCGGGGCGAATAGCAACCATCCCCCCTACGGACGCCGCCATGTCAGCAGCGCGGGCGGCGCGTTGACGAACGCCTTTGTCGCCTCCCCGGTCTCACTGTACAACACCCCCCAGACTCTCGACCCGTTTTGCCAACACCTGTCCGACCCCTTCCCCTCCACCCCGTACACGCCTGTGGGGCATTTGTTCATGTCCGCCGCCGTGCGGAACGCAAGGCCGAATGCCTCGTTGTTGATGCAATCCACCATGCCCAATATCACTCCCGTAACAAGTCCGAAGTTTGCCCACTACACGACAATCTACAACCTTGAGAATTCGCCGGCGCCAAGTCTAATGAATTCCAAGCTAACGACACAAATGTACCAAACAACAGCACGCTACACAGGCAAAGATATTGCCTTGCGTCGTCTTGTTATGGCCTCGGCAACAGCAGAAGAGTGCAGTGCTGTTAATGAACGTTTTCGGCACTACCGACATCCCAATCTAGTCCCACTAACGGGCGTTATTTGCACAGACGAATTTGTTATGGGTAGCAATGACATCATTATGGAGTATAAATTTATTTCTGGAGCAAAAAGCCTTCATGAAGAGTTCTTTCTTAACGGACGAGCAACGGAGGGTCTTTTGTGGTCCTTTGCGTGTCAGATGGTTGGTCTTCTGCGTGCCTTTCACGAAACTTCCGTTCCGTTGCGTGGACTCCACTGGTCAAAGATCTTGTACGCGTCGGTGACAGGGAGGTTTTACTTCAGTGGAATAGGGCTGGCTGACCTGGCGGAAATGGGGTCCACCAACCCTAGCACAGCGGTAATGATGAAGCAAGACATTCAAGCACTGGGGATTATGCTGTTGCAGTTGTCTACGTGTAATCTGGCTGCACGACTAGATGATATTTCGAATCAACCGATGTCTGGGTTTTCAAAAACCTTTTGGACACTCGTGAAGGCGTGCCTGGACGGGGTGTCAGAGATTCGGGAACTCTGTTGTGCCTTGGGAGAACGCATGTCGATGGAAGTGGCACACCAAGAAGGGCACGCAGACTATTTGATTGCGCAGTGTGCGAAGGAGGTGCACAATGGCCGTCTTATGCGACTGATGGTGAAACTAAATTTTGTACTAGAATCCTTACATGATGTTCCTGAAAACAGCACCGAGGCACATAATCGTTACGCGCTGCGACTCTTCAGTCAGTACGTTTTTAACCAAGTTGACGAGCATCATCGTGTTCGTATAGACTGGGGTCATGTATTTCACTCCCTAAACAAATTGGATTGTGGATCTGAGGAGCTGGTGCAGCTTATCGGCAATGACGACGGGGACACCATCTTAGTTATTTCCTACCGTGACCTGAGGGCCTCACTTGAAAGCGCGTTTGAGCAGCTGCAGCTGCCAGCAAATGATGCCGATATGCAGACGTTTTCTGTGACAGTCGGGGCCGCGCCGGTCACTCTCCAGTAAAACGCACCCCAATCACTCGATGCGTGGTGGAGCAGCAACACCAACAAACTGAGAGGAGGAGAAAAAGAGATAAGTAGAAAGAAGGAAGGAAGAGATAGAGAGAGTGGAACGAAAATGTGTGGAGGTGCTTCTGCGTTGGTGGCGGGGGGTGGTGGCGAACGCGGTCCGAAGTTCTCGTCCTCATCGTCGCCTGGCTGCTCTCGGTGTGGTCCCAAGTATATATATATATATATATATATTTCTCTTTTTACTTCTTTACACGGGGCAGGTGGTGAGTTGTGTTGTCGCTTACTTGCGAATCGAGGGCCACACGGGCGAAGGAAAAAGAAGGCAAAAAGAAGGAAACAAAAATAATAATAATACTTTTTTTTCTTTGTATTATGTGTCTTTTTTCTTCTGATTTCGTTCTCTCCATGTTCCACGCTTCCCTGCCGCGTCTCTTCCCCCGCGCCGGCTGTAGGTTCTCACAGAGGAGTGGCGAGAGGGCTGAGCAGAGGCAGCGACAATGGCGGAGATGACAAAGGAGGTGCTGATTGCTGCGTGCAAAAATAATGGCGGCTATGCGGCTCCTCGCCTCAACTCCCAGCTGTTTCTTCAGTGTCGAGGGTTTCTGCGCATTGAAAACCTTGAGGACTACGTGAACCTCAAGGTGTTGTGGTTGGAGCAAAACGCCATTACGGAGCTTACCGGCCTAGAGACATTGCAGCAATTAGTCTCTCTTTTTGTCCAAAATAACACCATCACTTCTCTTCGGACACTTCCGGCCTTGAGCAACTTGCGCGTGCTTAATGTGTCCTATAACTACTTGACCTCCCTCGCCGGCCTCGCTCAGTCATGCGGGTGCCTAGAGACGCTCCAGGTTTCACACAACCGTATTGGCAGTCTGGATGCCTGTCGCGAGCTGTGGGAGCTTAAGGAGACCTTGACCAGCGTGGATCTTTCCTTCAATAAGATAGAGGTGGATGAAGGAAAACCGGGCCCGGTGGAGTTCTTTACAAAGCTACCAAATGTGAGTGTCATCTACTTTCATGGCAATCCTGCAATTCGTGGATTGAGAGGCTACCGACGCCAGATGGTGCTTCGTCTCCCTCAGCTGATGTACTTGGATGAGAGACCCGTTTTTACGGAGGAGCGTCGTTGCGTGGAGGCATGGGGCTCGGGCGGGGAGGCGGCAGAGGCGCAGGAACGGGCGATGATTCAGAACGAGAAAAAGAAGCACCTGGAAAGCTGTGTGAGGATTTTGTCTGACCGCATGGAAGAAAACCGCACTGTCCGTGACAAGCTGACAAAGCAATGGGAAGAGAAACGTGAATTGGAACTGGAACGCTTGAGGAACGTGCGTCGCGAGTTTCACGCTCAGCGGGAGGAGCTTACGCTACTGGAAGAGCGTTGCAGGCCGTCTGTGGGGGACTCCGAAGTGGATTCGCGTCTCCGCATTGAGGAGGAATTCCACGCCGCAAAGCTTGCGCTTGACGCCACGGAGAAGGCGCACCGCAGGGCCTACGATCACGAGAAGGCCGTAGAGGCCGTGCGTGCGGAGGCGCTGAAAGAGATTGAGGAGGAGTTTCAGCAGCATCAACAGCAGCCGCAGCCGCAGCCGAGGGCAGGAAGTGAGGACAATTCTTTACGCGGCCTTTTGATGTCGGATGAGGAGATGCTGCAGGAGATGGAGGAGGAAATACTGCGTGTACTGGAGCCTCTTGAAGGGGCCAATCAGGTAAGCCGGACTGCGTTGAAAATGGAGCGTGCGATAGATACCGTGGCGTCTCGTCTGTGCGGAGGAAAGAGGTCCTCAGCGTCATCACAGCGGATGCAAGTGTGGAAACAGTTTGCCCTCTGGGAGGGCCACGCAAAGGAGTAAAAACTGCTCGAGCTACTCCACGAATGTAAAGTGATAGGGACACTGGGGTGGCGAGGGACAACAACGGCAACCCCCTAATCCCCCAAAGAATCAAGAGGGAAATGAAACAGTGTAGGAGTGAGCCAACAATTGCAGTGCATAGTAATCGGCTGTCTGCTTGCGTCTCTCCTGCGCCACTATTGGAGGTTGACTTTGTGTTCCCTTTCGTTCTTACTCTTCTCTTTTTCGTTGTCCTTTTTTTTTCCTTCATTTCTTTCTGTGGGCGCGTACAGTTTGTGGTCTCTGGAGAGTGCTACAAAAAGGCCGCATGTCAACCAGTGTTGTTCTTGTTACCGGTGGAAGCGGCCTCGTCGGCAAGGCCCTTGAGGCGGTGCACAGACGCAACTCCTCTGCTGGTGAAAAATGGGTGTTTTTGTCAAGCCGGGATGCGGATCTCACGTCGGTGGAGGCAACGAAGGCGGTGTTCGAACGACACCGACCCCATTATGTGATTCATCTGGCAGCAAAGGTTGGTGGACTCTTTAAAAATATGAGGCAACCCGTGGAAATGTGGCTTGAAAACGTTGCCATTAATAATAATGTGCTAGAGTGTTGCCGCATATTCAAAGTAAGGAAGCTTGTCTCCTGCCTCTCCACCTGCATCTTTCCTGACAAGACAACTTATCCTATTAACGAGGATATGCTGCACGATGGACCGCCGCATTACTCCAATGAGGCTTATGCTTATGCAAAACGTATGATGGATGTTATGAACCGTGCTTATCGGAATGAGTATGGGTGCAATTTCACATGTGTTATACCCACCAACATCTATGGCCCTCATGACAATTATGATTTGCAGAATTCTCATGTTGTGCCCGGTTTAATTCATAGGTTTTATCTGGCAAAGAAGGAGGGTATCCCGATGACTGTGATGGGTACAGGTAAGCCTCTTCGACAGTTTATTTACAGTGAAGATTTGGCAGAATTGATGATTTGGGTAATGCGCGAGTATCCGGAGGAGGGACCCATCATTCTTTCCGTCGACGACAGTGACGAGGTATCAATTGCGGATGTCGTCAAAATGGTCGCAGAGGCGATCGACTATAAAGGTGATATTGTCTTTGACACCAGCAAGGCAGATGGGCAATATCGGAAGACGGCAGATAACAGTAAGCTCAGGAAGTACATGCCAAAATATAAGTTTACCCCCATGAAGGAAGGCATTAAGAAATCAGTCGAATGGTTTGTTCAAAATTACGATAGTGCTCGCAAATAGACCGTTCTTCTTTATTTTATTCCTTCCAGTGTTCACCCTTTGCTGCTGGTTTCTGTCTATCGCTTTTTTTTTCTTTTGGAGGGGGATAGAATTGCTCTTGATGGTGTTTGTTTACTTGGGCCTAGCGCAAGTAGCGATGCGGGGATTATTGCCTCGTTCCCCGCCAGCAGGTGGCCGTCTGCGTGTTTTTTCACCTTCCAGTTTTTTTTTTGTAGTGCTGTTAATTGTTGTCTTCGCCAGCCCACGTGGGGGACAATTTCTGCGTTGCGGTTCTGCGCTGCTGTCGTCTTCTGCGTCCCCATCACTTTGCGTTTACCTTTTCATTTTCACTTTTTGCACGTTTGCTTCCACCTTTGCGTTCTGCCAACACTCTTCGCCCCTTCTTCTTCATTCGCCACGCTCTGCACCCGTCAAATACGACCCTTCACTGCCGCAAATGAGCACAGCACTCCGACCTCGAACTTCGAGTAACAAAACCAAAGGGTAATGCCCGCCAAGTCCGCTGCCAAGGCCTCTTCGCCCAAGGCCTCTTCGCCCAAGGGCGAGAAGAAGGGCGCCGCGAAGGCTCCCGCGGCAAAGACTGAGAAGAAGGCCCCTGCGCCCAAGGCTGCCGCTGGCGCGCCCAAGGCCGCCGCTGGCGCGCCCAAGTCAGCGGCTGGCGCGCCGAAGCCCGCGGCTGGCGCGCCGAAGCCCGCCGCCGTGAAGGAGACAAAGCAGCGCCCGGCAGCCGGCAGCCACCATGGCGTGTACGTGAAGAACTGGGGCCAGGGCTCTGTGGACGACGCCAAGGCAGTCTTCAGTGGCGCCGGCAACGTTGTCGGGGTGAGGGTGCGTCGTCGCCGCTACGCCATCGTCTTCTTTGAGAACGCGGCGGCTGTGAAAAAGGCCATCGATCTCTTCAACGAGAAGGAGGTGATGGGCAGCGTTGTGAC